CTTTCTAGACCCATTTTATTTCTGTCTTGGAATTCTGTTAATCCCATTTACTTAGAATAAGCTGTTTTCTGAAAATACCACTCACAAAAATAGTTTTTAAAAGCATTTAAAAACCTTCTATCTCAATCCATATTTCTCTAAAGGATGAAGGATCAGGGGGATCTGCCCAAAGCATCACTTCCTCCCATGTTGGAAGAGTCCACGTGTGAGACTGCTGAGTCTCATTGCTGAGAATGGCAGCTACTTTGCTGTGCCTTTGACACAGAAAGGGAGACCTCTTTCCTGAAGAACCTTGACTTTTGAGTTCTGACAACAGGGAGCTTTCATTATCAAATGGGTTCTTAAAACGTACTCAGCCAAAGACTACCAGGAACAAGTCTGTAGCATGAAAAAAAAGCAGATTTATTGCCTTGGAAAAAGGGAGGGCACATCAAAGGAGTGCCTGCCGCTAGACAAGCAGGAAGAGGTAGGCATCTTTTGTGAACTGGGCTCTCACTGAAGGACTTTGAAGAAGGTCTAAGGGAAGCAGGGATCAGTTTTGCATTGGTTGTTGTTTTGAGGTACGAGTAGAAAAAGAGGCAATTAACTAGGAACTGGGTGTTTTCATGAAGTGAAGGTGTCAAGATGACTGAGCAATTGGGTATCCCTAGTAAGAAAAGAAAATAGCACGTGGTCTGGGGCATCACTGGTCAGTAACCACCCAAAGAGAGGGTCGTTATTGTAATTTCTAACTGCTCCTTGATCTTGGCAGAAACAGTGTTTTCTATTACCGTTGCAGCTGCCTTCCTCTGTGTCTGTCCTCCCAGCCTGATTAGTGGCAGGGCTTTTTTCTTTTTTTCTCTTTTCAGTCCAAGATGGTTTTCCCTCTTTCAATTCCAAACAGATTTTCAGCATCCCAGACTCTAAACTCACTGAAATACATTTCCCCACCTAACCAACTGTAAGTATTTGGGTTCATCTTAATTTAACTTAATAGAAAACTCTAGAGCAGACATCAAGCAACCTTAAAAAGTTGAGGCAAAGCCATGTGGTTTCACTCCCAGGTTCCAATTTAGGATATTTAGAACTTTTCCAAATGCCCCACCACTCTGCCTTTTGATGATGCCACTGCCCTCACAAATAGCCTTTCTAGATTAGAGCAGGTCTATTACCCTACTCCAAAAGCTTAATGGCCCCTCATTGGAAATCTCATTGTCTTTGAAGCTCACCATGATTTGGCTCTGTTCTACCTTTCCATTCTCCTCTCTTTCTATGTGTTTCACATTTGAGCCACATCAGAGCGACCCTTGTACTTCTACACTTCCATGCCTTTGCTTACACTTTCCCTCATCCTGGAGGGATCCTCTGTCCCAATCAAAGTCCTATTCTCACTTATCTGAAGCAAGAAGTTTCTCCAGGAAGCCACTCCTGAATCAGCCTGTTGACACTACCAGCTGCTTCTTTAGCATTCCCATAGCACTTTGTTTATGCCTCTGGTTAGCATTGGTTTTCTTCGGTCTCCTAAGAACGCAGTGTTTTTTAAAGTTATCCGTGATATTTGGGGGGAAAAGTGTTATTTTACCGACTCTCTACGTCCTGGGGAACATAGAACTCTCTACGTTCTTAACCTGAAGTTCATGACTTCATGTCTGGGGACATGGGAAGGTGAAGTATCTTGTGAAACTTTATGTATACATCTGTATGTACACGTTATATAATTATGTAACTTGTTGGGAAGAGGGTCTACAACTTTCAGCAGATGCTCAAAGAGATGTGTAACCCCAAAGAGGTTAAGAATAACTATTAGAATATTAGACTGTTGTGGAATGGGCACTCTGCCACTCAAACAGATGGGGGAGAGGAATACAAACAACCCAGAAATCATGAATGTGCATCAGATGTGGGTGCTTAGGGCATGGTACCCAGCTGGGCAGGTGGAGAACTCTACCCACCCAAAGCTGCCAAGGGCTATTTGCCAGTACTGATTAAACTCTGGACTGTACTTTCACTGACTTTAGGAAATTGCAATAAAATTCTGTCCTCCCCCGTCAAGGCACAGCAGCACAGTCATTGGCTGAGTTTGTCCACATAAATGCCCTGACCGTGCCTTTGCTGAGAAGCCAAGTTGGCAGTGGCAGCAATGCCACTTGTCCTCATCTACTTTTTCTATTCCCAGATAAATTTTAGTTTGATTAATAATCACATTTCAGTCTGTCACAGGCACCATGAAGACTAAAATTCTGGAGGGAAAAAGTAGTGCATGACATATATCTTTTCTCCATCCTTAGACTAAATAGAAAAGCTCCTCAAAAGGATTATATGATGCCATATCTTCCTATTCTCTCACTTTAACACAGGTGTCTAAGTATATGGGTTGCAAGACAATACAGTCAATGTTGAGCATGAATGAGACAGCTATGACCTGACCTTCAGTGCAAGAGACAGGCCCTTGATGATACTGCCCATGAGAAAAAGACTCATGATTTTGAGAATGTTTTTCCTGCCACTTCTTCCATGCCTTTCTTAGAAAAGTCTCTGTGGAACTGACTTGGCTAATAACAGGTTAGCATTAGAAAAAGGCATGAAAAATATGTACACTTCCAATAGTCATGTGCATTCACATGCCCATCAACTAAGCCTCATTTTGGCACCTGTTGAGATCATTTGCCACAGCTTATTCTCTCCCACAAGGGTATGCAAAGAGAGAGCAAAAGAATATGCTATTCAGCACCAGGGTTTAGGGGGCAAAACTCCATGTTTCCTCTTCCTCAAAGTGACTAGTTATCATTATTACTTCTTTCTTTTCAAACAAACCCAGTTACAAAAATCCTACAACAGCAAAAGCATTATGAAAATCAATGATAATTCTTCCAAAAGCAAGTGTGACTGCCTTCAAACCTAGCTATTCGTGAGCGAAGGAGCTTACTTCTCAATCTGAAAAGCAATAAAACTTGCATATAGTCAAATAAACCCCTACCAATGAGTTCCTTTGGGATTAACAGATAATATTTTAACTCAGTAATTTTAAAATGAGCATGCATTAGAATCATCTAAAAGGCCTGTTAAAATACAGATTGCTGGGCTTCATCCCCAAAGTTTCTGATCCAGTAGATCTGGGGTGGAGCTGGAGAATGTGGATTTCTCATGAGTTCCGAGGTGATTCTGATGCTACTGGTGTGGAAACCACACGCTGATAACCACTGATGTAGGACTTTAAGGTTGTGAGGTATTGGTAATTAATTCAGAAACCAGGACATAACATGTTTTAAACTACCTAGTAATACAAGGTAACATAAGGGTCCAAAATAAGCTACAGTGTGTGTGATATTGAGAGAGAGGGAATTCGGGGCTGGCAGGATTTGAGCTGACTCCCAAGTCCAGATGGAATTAAGATCATCAGAGAGGAAGGTGGAGGGCATTCTAGGATGGGCAGAAGAATCAAGTTAGTTAGAGGTAAGACTGGAGGGGTAGGTAGGGACCAGTTTGTGGAGAATGGCTTTCAATGCCATTCTATAAAGAGTTCAGATTTTATGTAGCAGGTAGTATTTCTTCCATTCCCACATTATTCCTCCCATGGCATGCAGTCACAAAGCTCTAGTTCCAGGTTACTGCAAACATTTTAACCTTCCCAAAGTATTGTTCAGCTGAGGTGAGTGGGAACAGGGAAGGTTTTAGCATATCTCTGATGTTTGATGAAGATACGAATTGAGATTGGGAGTTGGATTATTTGCAGTGTAGAGTCAATTTATTTTTCCTAGGTTGGAGGGATGGGAAAGCCAGCAACTTTTGGATGGCATCTGAAACACTAAGTAAAGCTTGTTTCAGTATGGATTTTGGTTGCTGACAGGAATACGAAAAAATCATGGATGTCTTGGGCAACTGTGGCTCTTGAAGTGGGCAAGACCATTCACTAGAGGCCAGTGCTTTTCAGTCTTTAAGGTGCACATGTAGGAATCATTTGTAGATCTTGTTAAAATACAGATACTGATTCAGCAGGCTTGAAACGGTGCATTTCTAACAAGTTCCCAGAGGATGCTGATGCTGGGGACTGCAATTTGAAGCAAGGTACCAGAGGACATCCAGAGCGCGTTAGGGGTAGAGAGGCCCGTGGGGCATCCTTCCCGAAGTACGGAAGGAGGATAAATGCGATCCTTAAAGAAAGGCCCTTCTCCAGTCACTCAGGAGAGCGGGGACAATGGTGTGGAAGGAGGAGGAGAGCGTGGGCAGAGCTGGGAAGGTGGCAGCCGGGGAGGGCGGCGGCGCCGAGGTGCGTCAGGTACGGGTGTTCGGGTGATGGCTGTCCGGCAGGGCACATTGCCGCGGCGCGTCTCCGCGTGCTCGAGGCGCGATTTCTGGTCTTTAGGCCCTCGGCGGCTCCCATCGCGGCTCCCGGGCTCCCAGCTGGGACCGCGGCGGCGGCGGCGGCAGCCGGTCACTCCGCCGCGCGGGCGGCGCACACCTAACCCGCGGGTCCCGGCGCTCTGGCTCCCGGAAGCGGAAGGGGAGCGCGGCCAGGCTAGGGCGGTGGCGGCGGGACTAGAGGAGGAGGAGGAGGCGGAGGGGGAAGAAGCGGAGGTGGAGGGGGAAGAGCTGCCGGCGGCCGCGAGAACAGCGGCGGGGAGAGGCGAGCCCCCGGCGCCGGTGAGTGTGTGCAGGCACGAGAACGCCACGGCCGCCCCCCCGCCCCCGGCCCCTGCAGCCCGGCGCCCGGCCGCCCGCCCCTGGCTGCGCCCCTGTTCCGCGCCCTGTTCCCTGCCCGCACCTGCCCTCGTTCCCGCTCAGAACCCCGGGTCTTCTGCGTGCCCTGCCTGCCTGGGGCCTGGCCTTTCTCCCAGCATCTTCAGCCAGAGCTGCAGCCGCCCGCCAACTGCCCCTCCTATAACTGGTGGTGGGTGGGTTCGTGCTCCAGTCAAGATGATTTGGGGTAGTTTTTCGTGTGTGTGTGTGTGTGTGTGTGTGTGTGTGTGTGTGTGTGTGTGTGTGTGTGTTTAATTAAAAAAAACCTTTGCCCTGAGTTTCTCGCGTGTGAACTGTAGTTTCTCTCTCTGTACCTGCGCCCGGAGACCTGCGTAGGGATCTGGGATTTATCCTTGCCATCACAGCCTTTCATTCATTTCCAGATCGCTGGGTGAGGCTTCAGAAGACTTACAGGAGGAGAAATAGTTTGCTCCTTTACTGACCTTCTGCCTCCCTCCCCCAGATTCAAGAGTGGTTTTAAGAAAATGGCTTATGGATGGCAGCAGTTTGCACTTGTTACCATTCACTGTAACAGACCGCTAGATTTTAACTGGGGAGTCCATTTAAAGTTGTGCTCTTTCTCAAGCTGTATTTGGAGCGTATTTTAAGATCCCTTGTGAGTCAGTGGAGGATGTCTGTATCTCTAGGGCTAAGAAAACCTGACCAGTTTATTACTTGAAAATATTGCTATATAGCAGTCTATAAAAGTACAAGAGGAAAAAAAAAATCAAGGTCGTTGTGAGCAGGTCATAAATCATAGTGTAAAGTTACAGTATAAAATCATGACAACTAACGATAATTAAGCATGCAGGTTAAAAATATTTGTCAGATGGATCCAAGGCCTAATATGTGTACTTTAAAAAATTCACTGCCTTCCTTGTAGTAAAAAGTAATAATAATTATCATCTGATGATTGCTTAGTATATGCCATTCCTGAACTAAAAGGCCTCTGGTGTAATATCTTGTTAAATCCTTCCAACTCTTTAGATTTTATTTATTTTAAAGATAAAATCCAGAGAGATGCTCTATTTTGCCGTAGGTGTGCTAAGTTGTCATGGCAAAAAAGATTTTTGAAGAGATGAGAAATCAGTTGGAAAGAAGGAACCAAACGATTTGGTGTCGTGGAAAGAAAAACTAGATTTTAGTTCCATTGCTGTCACTATTTAGCTGTGGGGTCATGGGTAGGTCAGTGACCCATGCCATTTTTCATCTATACAACCAGGAAGTCAGGATAAATTCTTTAATGCTTATTTTAGCTTTTCCATCCTTACTTGGCATATGCTAAGTTTGTAAATAATTTAAGACCCTTTAACATGTTAAAGTTACTTTTAAAACATTTACCTGAAGAAGTATTAGTAAAATTATATCAAAATATAACCAAAAAATGTATAATTCCATACTTTTAGAATAATATTTGGTGTAGTACTATTCCAGAATTCCTCATTTTGGAGGTAAAACAATAGGATTATATTAAGTCCCTTCAAACTGTTGTGACTTCTGTTAAATTTAACGTACTTTCGAAGCCGTAGTTGGAATAAATGAACTAGAGCATATTTTAAATAAAACGGTGTCACATTGCCTATCTCTGGGGTGTTTTACTTAATAAAAAGAAATTTAAGCATTTAAAAATGCAAACATGTAACCATCAGCTTAACAGGTATGTTCTAAAGAAGTAACCAGTGAATCATAAAATTTTTTACTTCTTATTTACCCACTGCCTGATTTCTCTAATTCATAGAGACTGATTCAGAACCTGTGGAAAAGCACATGGATAGAATAATGTCGTGTATTAGTGAAGAAATGAATTTAGAAGTCTAGTAATGTCTCCATGGAGCTTTTTTTCAGGAATTGTAATTGAATGTGAGTCAATAAAATCTTTTTCAGTGTAGAAGACTACATAGTGGCATTATCAGTACTACCAGGCATAACAGGGAAGGCGGAGGAAAAGCTATTTTTATTACCAGGAAGTTGTTCCCTAAGCTCAGTTTTACTTTTATATTAAGGAATGAAGACATTTTATATTACTTTAGTAAAACATTAGGGCTCAGTTTCAACTTTTCAAATGCACTAAGTATAAACGGCATCGTAGCATGTAGTAGAATAATCAATGAATTAATACCTCTTATTGAAGTTGAAAATGTTTTGCTTTGAATCAGTAAAAAATATAGGTGAATGACATGAAGAAAAATGGAAAAACACCAGTCTTGCTTATCAGAGTAGTGATTTTTTGTTTCTTTATTGGAGTATAATTGCTTTACAATGGTGTGTTAGTTTCTGCTTTATAACAAAGTGAAATCAGCTATATACCTACACATATATCCCTATATCTCCTCCCTCTTGCGTCTCCCTCCCACCCTCCCTATCCCACCCCTCTAGGTGGTCACAAAGCACCGAGCTGATCTCCCTGTGCTATGCGGCTGCTTCCCACTAGCTATCTATTTTACATTTGGTAGTGTATATATGTCCATGCCTCTCTCAGAGTAGTGCTTTTTTGGGTAAGAATCTTTGGTAAATTGAGTTAGCCTAGTTTAAAAAGCATATCTTAATAGACATGAAATAGCACTGCTCTCCATGGTAGCTACCTTCCCCAAAATATCTTAAAGTGATGGTAGATTATTTACTTATTTCCCTCTTTTGATGTACCATGGGAAGAAACGTGGTATTTTCAAAGTTTGTCTTCTGCCTTTTAGGCCTCTTCTTTCCCTGTGCTTTGCCTCTCAGGTAGATTGACTTGATCCATTTAAGAGACTGAATAGGTTTCTGCTCTCTTCATCTCTCTGTTGCTGCCACTTCCACAAAAGGGCAAGTTAGGTAAAAATTAGTATTTTACTACTCACTGATTCATTCAATTTTAACTTAATGTGCTCCACTGTGATCTCAACCAGGCTTCTGATTTTAAGCCTTTTATCTGTAATTATGGAATGAAGAACTTTTTTACCTGCTGCAGGATTTTCAACTTCAGCAAGCAAGGAGAGATTTTTTTTCTTTTAGTGTTATTGGTTTTAAATCATGTCTGCTCTGATAAAGCCTGGTGTGAAGGAAATCTAATTTAGCCTTTTGGTTTGTGTGTTCTTTTTTTCAATCTGTTCTTGGTGCAGTGGGTACTAGATAGAGGTAAGTAGCTGGCTTGCCTTTCCTCATGGAAGAACATGTCTGATTCACACCCAGGAAATGCCAGAGTCTAACTTCTGGCTTTTACTGTAGCTGAAGTTTTTTCCTTGTGCTGTTTTTGGAGCAAAGGTTACCCGTGCCTTCTGTTCCTACCCTGCATTTAACTCCAGTTCTTCCCTTGCCTGTCCTGTCCTTTTTCCCACACCCATACCTTCCTAAATGAAGAGTCCTGCCTAGACATTTTGTACTGATTGAAACAGTATTTGGTAGTCTTTAATTCATATCATCACACACCTTCCCAGTTATTTTTGCTTTTTGTTGGGAGATTCTGAAGAAGTGTGTCGTTGTAGTGCAATACTTTTAATAAAGGTATTAATTTACATTTTTTTCACTCACGAGGCGGGTACACAGAAGAGCAACAGCTTACGTTCAGTTCTGCCCGGAATATAGTGATTAAAGACTTGTTCTAGGAAGTGGATTCTTGAAACCATTGGTCGTACAGGTTTGATATGCTTTGACACTTTGTCTACCCACATTTTAACAGTCTTCCTGGAGAACTGAGCAATTGGGTCAGAATTCCCTACTTTAATTCTGCATTCTTCCTTAGCTTTTGAAATCACGTCCTGGTTTTCTGCCATGCTTCATTGCTTAATTTCCCAGTCCTTCCACTTTTACCTGAAAGAGATTTAGTTTACAGGCTTTAGTTCAGTCACACATGCTTATAGTGTGATGCGAGGGAAAAGGCTGTGTACTGTCCTATCTGAGGTTTCTCATCTCTGACAAGTTCTCAGACTTCAGTGTTAGAGAAGGTAGGCAGCTGGGTATAGCTAAATTGTATTTAGTGATGGTGACCCAGAAACACTGTTTCATCCTGGAGTTTGTAAGACTAGATGTACAACTCATCTTTAGTCCCCCCTGTCCTCCACCACCCCCCACAAACGCCCCTTTAAAGTTGCCATCGTTGGAGGTGCTTATCATTTGCCAGGCAATTTCTCTTTTAAGTATGACAACCACCTTGTGTGTTGATATTTTTATTACCATTTTAGAGATGGTTAAACCGAAGCTTGAAAAGAAACTGAAGTTTGGAGAGCTAATAAGAGGCTGTTTCATAATTTGAATGTGGCTCTCTTAAGTGTCTGTATAAGATTAATTTCCTACTCTATTGAAATAAACTGAATACCTCTGATATTTTAAAAATTGGATTACCTCTTTGGCTAATTATTAAAGACAGCTATATCCTGATATTTTAGGTAGAATTACTTGACCAATTTTTCAGAGTTTATAAAATCAGAAATTAAATAGCTGTATAAATATGTAAGATTCATTTTAAGCTGCAGTTATAAGGTTTAAATTTTATGTATTTTAAAATTTTATATATTTGTATATTAACCATTTTGTTTTGACCCTCAGGGGGGATTTTTTTTTTTTTTTTTTTGGTTTGCCCTGTAAATTGTTGATTGCAGTCTCAGATGTAGCAATGTTAAAAATACTTAACATTTTGTAGTTATAGAGCTTTGAGATATTCTTTGTTATCACAAAATTTCTTGGGTTTTTAAGACTAGAATTGCTTTTATATCACGTGGGTGAGATTTGATTCCACAGTGATGGTGATGCTGAACTAGATAAAACGTTCATCTCATTTTGGATGCTATGGCTGTGATGTAGTTCTGATAACTGTAAATGTAAAGTAGGATTTTTTCCTTGATTTTAAGCCAGTGAGTGACTAGGGTTTGACTCACGGACGGTTGACTTGTGCTGTTACCTAATGTTACTGATGGAAACTACTGTTTTGCTGCAACAGTAAGAAGCCACCCGAGAGTCATAGCTTTAGCAGAATTACTGACTTTGGCCATGTTTCAGAGCACTTCATCGTACCACACTTAATTCTGCTTGAGATCTTTTCTAGAAGAAGATGAATTCATTCATTGCCACTAGAGTAGCAGCTCCTTTACTAAATCATTCTGTATTTTGTCTCTAAGAAGCAAATGTGCAGCCAAAGAGACCACTTTAAATTAGCTTAGAAAGTTAGAGTATAAACAAGTTATATATATATCACAATCTAACAATCATGGACCATAGAAAAAGTGACCCTGGGAGAAAGTACAGTTTAAAAAAAAAAGTCTGTAAGGGGAATGGAAATGTAATGATAATGATTTTGATGTTTTTTTCCACATCCTCAGTATGTAATAGATTCCTATTGCTGTGGTAAGCAGTATGCATAACAAACTCACAACTTGTCCTTTATCTCCTTTCTTGGAGAATGGTACCACCATTCACCAAGACCCTAAGCCAAAAACTTGGGAGTCATCCTAGCATCTGCCCTTTGCATGATTGATCACCACGTCCTATCAGTTTTACTCATTAAGTTCTTATTCTGCCCTTTTCCAGCATACCTCCTGTCTTAAGTGTTCCTTCCTCACCCCCCTCCCCTCCCCACTTCCTTTAGAAGTTACTGTTTTTGGGGTACTTACCATGTGCCCTCATTTCTCACCTGAATAACCAGTAAGCCTAGCTTATTCCATATAGTCAGTCTTGGAGCTTATCCATCCACCCAAGTTCATTCTTCAAAGTGTTGCTCTTCTTTCCAAAATGCACATTTCATCATGGCATTCTTCTGCCTTTAATCCTTCAGTACTTTCCAAACTACTTTCTTCAGGGTGAAGTCCAAACTCATTGGCATGGTTTAACAGTGTTTTTTATTCTTAGATCACTCTCTTCTTGTAGGTCATGAAATCAGTCTAGTAGGCTGTGACCAGCATTATATATTTTTATTAAAGTGAAATATAATAAAATAGTACAGTATCAGAGTATGTCACATATAGTCAGGGTGAATATCACTTCATTAAACTTTTTCAGTTATATATTTTATATATGTGAAATATATACTCACATATCTCATATATTTCTGTGTATATATTACCAGATGTCCTGAACTATATTTCTTAAAGATGCTTGTGGTCGAAAGGTTAAACGCGTTTTATCCCATTCTTCTATATGCAATGACTCTAGTCATTTCAGTTTACTTAGATTTTCTTTGCCTGCCCTTATACCTTTGCGTACTCCGCTCTCTTGTTCAGAAGAGCCTCGATTCTTCATCCACAGGTTTTGCTCTCTCCAGAAATCTTTTCCTGATGGTAACGTACCAAAAGAAATAAATTTTTTATTGCAACCTGTACACACAAATATTTACATAACTGAAAAGTTCCGTGAACCAATACCCTTCCTGTATGAGATGCATTATTGCCCCCTTGCCCTCTGTCTCACTTTGTCTTACTTGGTATTGATCATGTCTGTTTACTAGTTTGTCTCTATTGAGAATAGGGAGGGTCTCTTTTTTATCTATACCAGTGCCAAGGCATAGTAATATAGATAGTGATAGAATTAGTGAGATACTGAATCAGTATATGTTTTCTAGAACTCTTTACAGTATTATTGTTTAAGCCTGAACTGTAGAAACTAACTTTAATGGTTGATTCTCTTAATGGTTTCATTATAGGAGGATAACTTTTTTCCTTAAAGCATTTAAACTAATATGTGCTTCTATTTTAAACTCTTTATTTTATGTTTATCAATTGTGATTAGACAGTCCAGGCCTAATATCTTGATAGATATTACATTGGATTTTGTCACATCAGTGACCTCAGAATGTATTGTCATTTTGTGATTTGTGGTCAGTAAGTTTGATGAAGCCCAAATGCTGGACACGTAATACTAATTTGATTTTATGGGAACTGAGTGGTTTCAAAACAGAGAACGTAGAACGTTCATGTATAATGGTAATCAAATAAAGATTTTGGGGGGCTGGCTGGATTAGATATGAAAGCATAGAATTAAGTGGAGTTGAATCATTTTATTTCTAAATTTAAACTTTTTTTTTTGTAATTGACATTTTTTACAGTTAGAATATTTAGTTGCTTACAGTTTTTATCTTTGTTGTGAGATATTATTTGTTAAACCATTAATAGATTCGCACGGAGAACTGCTCTTGAGGAGAGATCCATTTGTTGGGATATAATAAAAAGAATGAATCAAGATAAAACCTCTAAATGCAAGTACCAGAAAAATTACAACACATCTCAGTGAATTTGCAGGTGGTAAGTGCATTTAATTTTAATGGGAATATGTTTCTGAATTGTGCGGCGTAGTATCCTTAAAGTGTTTTGTTTAGATGAATTTAACAATCTTTCATTTGCAAAAAAAATGATAGTTGCTTTATGTTTATATAAAATTTTCGTATTATCTTTTAACTACACATTTTCTTAAATAAGGCTTTTTCCATAGAGAAAAAAATCTGTAAATAATACAAGTTTCAGAAACATCTTCCTGAATTAGAAGTTTTATATGGCTTTACAGCTGATGCTTCTGTGCTGCATTTTTAAAGATATTAATTTTAAAAGCATTTCATATAAGGATAATACATAGTGATAAAGAGACGCTAAAAGTAAAAATTTTGTTTGTGAGGTTGTAGTGTCAAATCACACCTTATTGGCTATCTTTATTTTTCAGTTGGTCGAGAAGAATTTAGAAGTACATATGTCTATTAATAAACTTACATGAACACATAAATATATACATAAAATGTGACAGCATTCCTTCTCACTACTCTTTCCTTCCTCAGCCCAGTGGTAACCACTGTTAACAGTTTGGTAGATGTGTTTTCTTCCACCCATACAGAAATTACTTATACATATTTTTTTTCTAACAAAAAAAGAAACATGTTATACAACGTACATCTGAATACCCATCACCTAGATTCTACAACTAATATTTTACTGAACTACATCACATACTCATCCATCTCTCTGTCCACACATCAGTCCATTTTTTGAGGGGATCCATTTGAAAGTAAATTGCAGACATCAGTATACTTCCTTCCCCCTCTCCCCAGTCAGTTTACATGCGTATCAGCAATGGATGAGATTGTCCTTTTCTCTGTGCCCTTTCAACATTGGGTGTCACCTGTCTTTCTAGAATTTTGTCAGTACGAAGGGTAAATAATATACCTAGTGATTTCACATTTTCCTAATCAGTAATGATTAACCACTGGATTTTTTTTTTCTTTTGTGAATTGCCTCTCTGTGTATTTACTTTGTATGACTCTTACTAGTCATATGGTATATTCTTTTTTTCCAGGGATGCTTTGTCTTTTAATTTTGTTTCTGGTGTGTTTTGAACTTCAGAAATTTTAATCTTTATGTGGTCAAAGGTGGCTTATGGGTCTTGTTGAAGATCTTCCTCATTCTAAGATTATAAAACCACTTGCTATATTCTTCTACTAGTTTTGCTTTTTATTTGGAATTTTGAAGAGAAGGAGAAATCACTGTGAACTAAGGTGCCAGGAAAAATTTCATATGGCAAGTGAGATTCAAATTGACCTTGAAGTGTGAGTTGAATTTAAATAGAGTAGACAAAATGGTAGAGACATTTTGGACAGAAGGAATGAGAGAGGGAATATATTTTTCATATTCATGGAACAATAATAAGACCACTGGCTGAGGTGGCGAGTCATATAAAACTGCAAGTTTAGAGATATTCATTTGGCTCCATTTCTTGTAAATTATTTTGGCTCACTTTTATCATTTTTTAAAATCTGCATTCTGGTGTTATAGTTTTCTGTCATGTAATAGTTTTCTGTCACTTTCTTTTCATAGTGACTTCAGTATTCTTCCTGAGGAAAATATGTGGTGAAATTTTGTTGCCTGAAAAGGCAAAAAAGGGAAAGGTGGTTTCCTACCAGAGTAGTTTGAACATTGTGAATATTTACTAGTCTAGTTTATTAGAGTTGAGTTATAATTTCTTTAAAAAGTCGTGCTGTAGTAATTTACATCATTAATGAAGTGAGGGCACTCAAGTATAGTTACCAGATATCAATCTTCAAAAATGTTGAAATACCAGTGTGTCCACTAGTTACATCAAAGAGTTATGAGCTCACCATTTAATATACAGATTAATATGTTGGATTCTCTAGCTGATGCAAGTATTTACAGATGCCGCCCTTAAGACTGAGTAGCAGCATTGTGTTCAGTTTGGTTGTTGCTCAGGATGTGTAATAGTTTCTGTTCAGCCGTGAGCCGCGCCTGGTAGATAATAACTGAGTGGAGTGATCCTGCAACTTTACCAGTTACACGTTTCTGGTTGTAATCTGATTTGGAGCTCTTGGAAGGCTACTGTTTTCTTTTCTACAATCTAGTTGTAAGGATTATGTGGCACTAATTATGTGGATTAATTTTCACTACTCAGGTATTTAAAAAAGTATTCAACATCTTATTTGTTCATTGTTTTATTTTTCTCTCCTTAGCGCACTTTTCCTTGGAGATGCTTGTTCTTTTAGAGCTTGTTGTCTGTGTATGTTTATATCCAGGAAAAACAGACACATTTTTAACTATACTTTTCATTTATAGTTTCTGTTGTGAGGAACTCTTGCAGTGATAAGAAAAATTTGTTATTCTCTGGTAGAGGAGAATAAAAATAGAGTTTAAAAAAACAAATGAGTGTTTGATAATTTTGCTACTTGTTTTGCTGGCTTGTATGCTTTTCTGTTTCTAATACTAATACATTTAGAAATAAGTAACGAAATTACTCTGTTCTGTATAGTTACTAGAATTCATTGTCTGTTTTTTTAGTCGTGAATGGAACTGAAACATTAAAAGAAAGAAAGTACATGAAGTTAATGATATTGAACATGTTGAGAGACAGAGCCTTCTGTCATTCTTTTAGCACTTGATGGTTGGCAAGACTATAAAAATAAACATTCTTTTTAATGTTTCTCTTTTTAGGTATGTTGATAGCTTGTCATTTGTATTTGAGTTCATTTAGCTTTTAAAATAATCATCCCTAGAAAATTAAATCCTCTCTGACTTTCCTCACTTTAACGATACTGATAGGTCTTTTAATTTTTAAATTAAAAGGTAATGAAGTTCAACTTTTACTTTTTTAAAGGCCTAGGCATTATTCCTATTTTAAAATTCATACATAAGTGCTAACTGAGACCATATCTGATTTAAAGAGTTGGGTGGTGAGTTTGAGTTCTTGTCTTTTTTTCTGCTGTCCCAGTGTTTCCAGGTTCTAGTGATAACAGGATAGGGGTATTCTTTTAAAATTAATCCTTAATCTTTTTTTCTTTGTTCTGGTAGCTTCGTAACTTTAAAGAACATTGGCAAGGCCTCCAACGGGTAGTACCCTGAGGCTCTTCAACTGATGATAAATTATCCTTAGAATGAAATAGTCTGGGATATAAGCTGGAAATCTGGGAGTCATCCTCCAGAAGCTTACTGGTTTGATTCTGTTTCTTCAGTTGATCTCTCCAAAACTAATTTTGGCTTTTGCCTTCTCGTAGCCTAAATGATCTTTGTCTTTAATTTCATCCTCCACACCAGAGCTTTAATCCTTTATTTAAAATATAAACCTCATTATGTTATCCGCCTGCTTTAGTAGCTTTCCAGTGCCTAAGAATGGCATCTTTATATCCATCATGATATAGCCCTTTATTTCTTACCACTTGCTCTCCACTGAAAGGTTTGTGATTTATCATGGCAGTTTGTAATACCTCCTACAATTTTTACTCTTGTCTACCTCCTGCTCTTCCTTCTGTTTGCAGTATTGTTGTCACTTTTCTTTGCTTGGATAACTTTTACTCTTTTAAGATTGAACTCAGTTCACTCCCCTGCAGGGGGGTCTTGCCCTGATTTAATCAGTCCCCATCTTTCTGTGCCTATAGTAAGATCTTGTCCACATCCCTGGAATGTATCATATTAAACCCATTTTATGGCTCTTTTCCCAATTAGACTGTTAGTTCCTTTAAGCAAAGACCATGTCTTATTCATCATTGTATCTACAGTGTCTAGCAAGTGACCAGTATATAGTGGAGGCTCAATGAATATTTGTTGAACTGAGTTCAGTTCATTGCTGTACATTGAAGTCTTAGTGAAGCTCCTGGATCCGTGGTTCCTGGATACCAGTCAGCTGTATCGAGACACCTGGGGAGCATTTTAGAACATTTTATAGGTTTTTGAGCATTACTCTGTAAAGAATTATGATTCAGTACATCTGGAATGAGACCTGGGAATAAGTATTTTTAAAAAGCTCCTCAACTGATTCCAGTTTGCTTATAGGTTTGAGAAACATTGTCCTAGTGTATTATTGTATTATTCCATTGTGTTTTAGGTAAAAAAGTTGCCCCCTAGACCTCATATAGTAATTTATTATTTAAGGTTTATAAATTATAGCTACTAAAGTAAGGATATATTTTAGGTCACTTTTTTTTTTTTTTTTTTGCGGTATGCGGGCCTCTCACTGTTGTGGCCTCTCCCGTTGTGGAGCACAGGCTCCGGACGCGCAGGCTCAGCGGCCATGGCTCACGGGATCCTCCCGGACCGGGGCACGAACCCGTGTCCCCTGCGTCGGCAGGCGGACTCTCAACTACTGCGCCACCAGGGAAGCCCTAGGTCACTTTTTAAATACCATATGTAGAAGTATCTTTAAGCCTCTCATTGTGAGGCCTATTAGCATTTTGTTAACACTGAACTGAAAAAAGCCCCATTTAAGCAGGAGTCTTCTCGAATTGATAGTAATATTAGTTGGGCTTCATTCCATGAATTTAAGTATTTTTGGCAATTTGTAATTACTTCTCACTTTTTATTATAATTTTTCAAAATGATTTTTAAGCATTTTGTTGTGGTTTAAAATTAAATTAAATTGAACAAATCTTAAGTGTATATAGCTCAGTGAGTTTTTACATATGTAGATATCTGTAAGGCAACAGGTCAACATCTAGAACATCTCTAGCTCCTCAGAGTTTCCCCCATTTCCCTTCCCAATTAATAAACACCCCTCCCACCACAAGACGAGCGCTCTTTTGACTTGTATTACTATCAGTTAGTCTTATGTACAAAACCTTTTTGTAGTTTTAATCATATCTTTTGGTGAATATGTGCACTCATTTCTCTTGAATTTACACATGGAATTGCTGAGTTAAGGGCAGACTTGTGTTTAACTTCAGAAGGTAATGCCAGTTTATACTCTATGATTGCAATTCATATGAAAATTGAAATTAAATTATTTGAAGCTTATGGTGAAATTTTAATAGGCTGAAACTTCCCTTTGTTTTCCAAAGTGTTCTATTTTGTCAAAAATATACATAGAAAGAAAATTTAAGTGTCATTTTATAGTTGCCAAAAAGGTAGTTTTGTTTTATTCAAATAATTTTTCCTTTATAAGTAGATTTTTCTTTTTCCCTTTCCTTAGGTTGATCTTTCCTTGTGGGTTGGCAGGCAGTCATAGGACTGCAAAATGGGTCTCCGGATTCACTTTGTTGCTGACCCACATGGTTGGTGCTGCATGGGTTTGATTGTCTTTGTCTGGTTATACAACTTTGTTTTAATTCCCAAAATTGTCCTCTTTCCTCACTATGAAGAAGGACATATTCCAGGCATATTAATAATAAGTAAGTTTCTAGATCTTTATTTATTTCTTTGGATAATTAAAGCTTTTTCTCATTGTGAATGTTTTTGGAGTAAAATACCACTATAATAACCTTCCTTTTAATATTATTCAGTGCTATTAATATGAAGTTATTTACTAAATTATGGACATTTTAAAAAAGAATGGCCTTTATATATTTTGCAGGGTTAGATAAATGTGATATCTTCATACCTAACTCTACAAAATATATAAAGACCATTTTGTTTAATAAAAGACTGGCACAATAGTGCTATTTGTGTAGGTCTGTGTGTATTTTTAATGTTTCTGTTATATACTTATTGCAAATGTGGAAGGAGTTTTAAGAATGATTATGATACACATTATTGAGAAAAAGTTTCATGATATAAAAGTTATTGATTATGATTTCGATTATGATAATACTTTGAACTTCTGGATAATTATTTTCTCCTATAGTTTAATGGTGATGGTTTGCTTATGATTAAAAGAATAAGATTGAAGTGATATGATTTACATGTACATGGCATTTATCATTTTCATGTACATTATGTCATTTTGATCTCATAAGAGCTGTGGGAAGTATAATCTGTTTTACAAATGATAATACTGACCAATACCATGCAGTCAGTCCTGGAGTTAGCACTTGAACTAAGTTTCCTATTACAGGTGCAGTGCCTTTATCCCCCCAACAAAATGCCTATTTCTTTTTCATCTAAAAGGTAGAATTATGATGAATGAATATATTTTCCTTTACTGTTATTTTTTCTAGTTATTCATTTTAAAACACAAAAATTTCTAGATTCTTTATTTTCAAATTAACTCTCTTAAGATCTATTGAAAAGAGCAATTGAACATCACTAACCCAATGTAATTTTGAAGCTAGCCACTTAGAGTTAATGAAAAAGTTTAATTGTAGAATAGGTTTAAAAATGCTGCTTTGATTCTGTCAAATATAGTACATGTAATAATTAAAAGGGATTCATTTATACCAATATTAGTAGGGAATTTCTGTTAATAAAGAATCTGGTTTATAACAAGTTTATCAGTTATTATTATACAAAATAACTATTTAAAATTACTACATTTTAGATAATCCTCTTGGCAGTATTATTTGATGAATGAAATGAGTTAATCATCTTTCCATCTTATTTTTGAAAATTATTTATCCTGATGGTATTAATTAAAATATACATTTATCCTTTAGATATGCTTGTTGAAAAATGTTTTGAAGGGTAAATACTAATTTTATTTATTTGTTTGTTTATTTACAAGTATTCTATGGCATTGCCATATTTTGTCTGGTTGCCTTAGTGAGGGCCTCAATAACTGATCCAGGAAGACTCCCTGAGAACCCAAAGATCCCACATGGAGGTATGGTACCTTTCAGATTTATCAGTTTTACAATGCCAGAATTATCATCTTTATTAATGTATTTGACTGCCTTTAGTATATTAATTATATATGTCATGTAACGCTGCTTTCACGTCTTACCTCAGTTGTTTCCTTTCCAGACTTCTCAATTTAAAACCACAAATCTCAGCTGACTCCTCACATCCCCCACTCTCCGGCTCTCCTTTTCAGTTTACTTGTTTATTTATTTGTCTCTCCCTCCTCCCACTCTAGATCTGTATAACCTCTGTGAGGGTGTAGATTCTTTGTTTTGTTTTCTTCATTTGTTCAGTACTGTATCCTTAATGCCTAAATAGTCTCTGTCACTTAGTAATAGTTGCTAGGTAAATATTTGTTGAATGCTATAGAATTACTGAGAAATTATATTTTTATTTAGTAAAGGAATTTTTTGATGGTGCCACTTACCTCATGATATTATTGATATAATATTGCTTAAATATTTGTAGTATTATAATACTATTGCCTATATTTCTTCCAAGTTCGAACAATTCAGTGAAAATTTTGAAAGCCTTTTATTCTAGTGTCAATGAAGGTAATTTTTGGTCACTTTATTGCATAGTAACCATTCAGGCAACACAAAAAAATTACAAACATATTGCTTGTTTTATTACATGCCAGATATAGTAAACCTCCTTTACCCTCTTTCCCAAGTTTCACTTTTCCATCATTTGCTATGTAAGCTTTGAGAACTCTGTACTTTCTTCTAGAAAGAAATTTATATGTCTTTGTTATACATTATAGAACCAGAAAAATTTTTATAGTAGTTTATGAACTTGCTGTACATTAGAACCACGTGGGGAGCTTTAAAAAATCTCAATGTCCAGATCATATCCCATATTAATTAAATCAGAATATCTGGGGGTGAGAGCCAGGTATCCGTATTTTTGAAAGATCCAAGGTGATTCTAGTGTGTCACAAAGTTTGGGAACCAATGTACTAATTCTTTCTAAAATTAGATAAACTGGCAAGTCACTTATATAGCCTCCCTTGAGTTTCTGATTGTTTTTTGAGATCCATCATTTGGAGCTTACTTGGTCTTGCAGGTTTAACGATTAAGTGGGAATGATATGACACTGATGTTTATGTAGAAGTTTCTGAAAATTATCTTGAATATTTAGTTTTTATTAACTTATAGAAGCAGTATCACTGTCATTTAGCGGTTATTGTGTGTGTGCGCACGCGTGTACCTGTGTTTGGTCAGGGAGGATGGCACTCTGTAATTTGTATAGAATCCCTCTTCTCTACTAGCCTAAACCAAAGGCTCTCTAAAATATTGATATATGTATTTTCTTTTTTTTTTTTTTTTTTG